ATAATGAAGATATGTGTAAGGGTCATTGTAGAGTCAAGGTGAGGTCAGGGTCAGGGAGAAAGTCATGGTCAAGTCAGGGTAAGTAGAGTATGAGCATCAGAGTCAGGGTCAGGTAAGGGTCAAGTTTATGGTCATGGTGAGGTTAAATTCAGGGGCAGGGGGGAGGGTCAAATTGAATGCTGGTGTAGGGATAGCTTCAGGATCAGAATATGGATGAAACTGAAAGTAAAGGTGAAAGTGAGGGTCACGACGAACATGACACAGAGTGTCTAAATGAGAATTAGGATCAGAGTCAGGGTGAGTGTCATGATCAGACACAAGGTGAGAGAGAGCATCAGGGTAAGGTTTAGGTATAGAATAGAGATAGTGTCAGAATGAGAGTCAGAGTCAAGGTGACAGTGAGTATATACCTCAGAGTCAGAATCATGGTCATGATCAGTATCTAGATCAAACTGAGAGTCAAGGTCAGGGTCATGGTGATGAAAAGTGTGAAAGTTGAGGTCAGTGTGAGCATCCAGTAAGGGTAAGAGTGACATAGAGGTTCAGTGTCAGTGTGAAATTCAGGGACATGATGAGGGTCACGGTAGGATCAGCATCAGAGTATGGTAAGGGTCATAAGAAAGTCACTAGCACAGTCAGTGTTAGGTTGAATATCAAGTCAATGTTAGAGTCACAGTCAGTTTGGGGAAGCAGCTGAGGGTCAGGGTGAGGATCAGAGTCATGTAGTGTGTGAGGTTAAGGGTCAGAATCTAAGTCACACACAGGGTCAGGCATGAGTCAAAATAAGGTTTAGGGTCATGGTGATTATGTATGTCAGAGTAAAAGTCAACTTCAGAGTTATTGCCTAGGTCAGGATATCAGTCCAGGGTCAGAGTAATCAGAATCAGGGTCAGCATTAGGTTCAGGTCAAAGACCAAATTCAGTTTAAATTTTGAGGGGTGGAGAATATAGAGTCAGTGTTGGGATCAAGTCTGGGTCAAAATCAGTTGAAGGTTATGGTCATGGAGAGGGTGAAGATGAAGTTCAAGGACAGAGTGAGGGTTAGATTCAGAATCCAATTCAGGGTCAGGATCAAGTTGGTCAGGTTGAGTATGAGGTTCAGAGTAATGATCAGCTTGAGGGTCAGTATTAGGGTGAGTGTGAAGGTCTCAAGGGTAAATTTGAATATCAGTATTGGCTTAGATTTAGGTTGAAGGTCTAATAAAAGTCACGTGTATGGTGAAATTGAAGAAAATGGGTCAGGTGTACAGTGAAGTTAAAGATGAGGGTCTGAGACAGATAAACTTTAGGATTGAAGTCAGGGCTTGGGTGAGGGTCAGTATAAACATGATTCTTGGTGATAGGATCAGGCAGAGGATGAATGTCACGGTCAGGATTGAGAATAGGGATATAGTGGGGTTGAGTCTGTTTCATGTTCATAGTCAGGGTCTTGGTGAGAGGCAGGTTCAGGTAAGGGTAAGGATCAGGTTGAGGAATAGGGTCAGTGTCAGGGTGAAAGTCAACATCAGGAAATTTTGATAGTTAAGGTCAGTGTCAGGGTCTTGGTGGTAATAGTGTCAGGATCAGCTTCAGGATCAAAGTCAGCACATTAGTGTCAGGTTGATGATCAGGGTCAGGGTGAAGAGCAAGTTAAGTGTTGGGTTCAGAATCAAAGTCAGCATGAATGCCAGAGCCTTAGTAAGGGTCTATGAGCATCGTGGTCATGGTCACAGGGTCAGCAACATGTTGAGAGTTAAGAGTCATGTCATGGTTAGGGTAAGGTCATAGTGAAGGTCAATTTCAGGGTAAGGATCAAAACAAGATCCATGTTGAGTGTCAGGGTCAGAATCAGGGTGAAAAGTAAGGTCAGGTAAGGTTCAGGGTCTAGTTAGACATCAGGATCAATGTGAGGGCAGGGTCCTGGGATGGAACCCTACATCCGGCTCTCACTCAGTGGGGAGCCTGCTTCTCCCTCTTTCCCTCTGCCTGCTGCTCTGCCTCCTTGTGCACTCTCTCTCTCTCAAATAAATAAATAAAATCTTTAAAAAAAAAAAGGAAAAAGGAAAAAAGAAAATGAGAGAGGTCAGCATGAGGGTCAGGGACAATTTGGGAGAGTAAGGGTGTCTGTCATTGTCAGAATCAAAGTCAAGTAGGACTGGGTGTCAGGGTCAGGGTGAGATTAAATGTGTGATTAAAATTCAAAGCTACCCCCTGGGTCAGGTGAGATTAAAGGTGAGGTTAAAGTTCAGAGTCAGCCCTAGGGTCGTCAATGTTAGGGTCAGGATAAGAGCAGTGTTATTGCTGTAATATTTCATTCTTCTGTTTACAATCTTACTTCCAGCATTAATTCAGGTACTGCTGTCAGAACAAAAGAAACATTATTCTTCCTGCTAATTTTGGTTTATTTTTCTGCAGGAATAGTAATGGATTTGGGATACTCACTGGCACAGTAATTTTAATTGTATTTTTATGCACCATCAGATCCTGATGATTCACACCTCTGAAAAGTCAAAATATTCCAAATTGTATGCCTTTGTAGATTTACAACAGTGCTTAGGTGATAGGAATGCAAGAATAAGGAGCCTGGGTGGCTCAGTTGGTTAAGCGACTGCCTTCAACTCATGTCATGATCCTGGGGTCCTGGGATTGAGTCCCACATTGGGCTCCCCCTGCTTTGCAGGGAGCCTGCTTCTCCTTCTCCCTCTGCCTACCACTCCCCCTGCTTGTGCTGTCTCTCTCTGTCAAATAAATAAATAAAATCTAAAAAAAAAATAGTAATGCAAGAACATGCAGTACAGTTTTAACAGGTTTCTGTCCTTAAAAAAAAAAGTCTTGCAACTTCTAAATTTCAAGCTTATGGAATGACTGGAATAGAATTTAGATGTTGAACTTCCCATTCCACTACAACATACCTGATAAATGATCATCTTCCTTTGAGCATTTGAGAAATGGCTAGCTAGCAACTCCCTAGGTTAGATACTTTCAAATTTATGGAAAATTTATCATCATTAATTGAGCCAAAGTGGCTTCTGACCATTCTTTTCACCTTCATACAGCAACAGACTAAATCTAATACTTTTTTTTATATGGCTCCTCAGTCTGTCTCCTCCACTCATGCACAGTAGTGCAGGTCTTTCTGCAAAAGTAATGCTATGACCACTGTCCCATCTGAGCAGACCCTGGATCCCATTAACAGGCTGAAATTTCCTGAGGGGCACAGTGGGAAGGCCCTGGCCTCTACCTGGACCACCAACCACACCTCAAAGGTGCTCACTGCCTGATTCCCAGGAAGGCTGCAACTCTCTTGATGGGTCCTGACATCCTCACACCCTAAGTTTGGAATGATGGCTGGGGGGCACTGGGCTTGTTCCCTTTGGACCCTGTGATGTAGGAAAGACAACATTAGGGTTCAAAGCTGATGGCCAAGAAAGAATTCTTGAGATATCTTTGGTGCAAAAAGGTGATTTTATTAAAGCATGAGGATAGGACTCGTAGTTGGAAAGAGCTGCAATGGGGTCAGAAGTGGCTCATTATATACTTTCAAGTTGGGAGGGGGGTGGGGATAGCATAAGTCTCTAAGGAATTTTGGAAGCAAGATTTCTAGGACTTTGAGGGGTCTAGCTATTGCTGGGAAAAGATCATTTATTACCAGCTAATAAAACCTTAGTCATGAGACCCTTCAGATGTATATTGGTAGGCCATGTGCTTGGGGGATGATTGCCAACACATATCTTGGGGGGTTTAGAGATAAAGGAAATTTCTAAAGGAATTTTTATATGTTAAAGTAGACTTACAGGATGGGGGGCGGGGTGGGCAGATCCGGCTAGGATTGCCTTTTGCCCTTAGCAAAGTGTCAACATGGAGGCAATTGAGTCCCTAGAGGAATGCCACTCTGCCTGTTTTAAGGACTTGTCAATGGGCTATAGGTAGTAAGGAAATTTAATTTAATAATTTTTCTTCTGCCTTTGTTTCCCACATCACCTGAACTAGACTAACGAGGCCCCCAAACCAAACCAAAATCAGAGGTAGGATCTGAAGGGAAGACTTGCTGAAGGTTGGAATGAGAAAACAACCCCTCTGACCACCAAACTTTTCTGGCTAAAGAGAAAACAGGAAATGACAGGGAGAGCTCCTCGCTCCCTCCTGCCAGCCCAGGCTTTGGGCAGCCTCTGATTCCCATGCCTCACCCCTAGACCAGCATTTCCTGCCCCTTCCCCACGTCTATCCCTCCTTCCCTGCTCACTGGTGCTGGGCACCTCTGATGCTTTCTGCAGATGTCACAAACCTTGTGGGATATTCCTCTTTCTAACACCTTCATTTCATTTTTTTAAACACTTGTGAGCCTGACCCCACCGTGATTCCACCCTGCAATGAATAGGTTTACAAGGTTTAGAGGTTGAAGAGAAAAGAAGTCTAGGCCAGGGAATGTCAGGAAATGGTTGAGGCCTCAGAGGCAGGCAGAAATCTTGCTTCCCAAACCTGGGATCTGAGGCTGAGGAATTATAGAGCCAAAGGTTTTCCTATCTGAAAAATAAGGGATGTATTGAATGGTTCCCAAGATCCTTTCCAATTCTAAATCACGATGCTCCAGGGAGGTATTCTCTGGTATTAGAGTCATTAGTTCCTAGAACTTTGTTCAAGCTGGGGCTAAGGGAAAGGAATTGGAAAATTGAGGCGGGTGGCCTCTTGATTCCACCTAGCGTAGGATGAACAAGACTGAGAGTCTTCAACAACTTTCTTCTAGACAAGAATGCCACAGGGCCACAATTTCTGGAGAATTTTTTTTTTCTTTTTTTTTTTACGACCCCTCCCCCAGCACTTTCTCTTTAGTCTCTGCCTGCCTGGCCTCTCCTTCAGGCTATTTTAATACTGCCCAGTGGTTACTTAAGGCTGTTAACCTCTGCTCTAAAGAAATTAAATATCCAAGATCATATCTAGGAAGCAGAGTTAAAGGAAAGGGAACCAAATGCCTCCGCAACTCAGGGACCAATAACTGAAAAAAAACCAGAAGAGCCAGGAAGACCAGCAAACCAATTTGGACTTTATTGAGGTGTCAGGGTAGAGTAATACCATGAAGGAGCAGAGCCTGAGCACTTGAATAACACAGAGGCAGGATTTAATGCAGGCCTGGGTATTTGGGCTAGGAAAAAGGCTGTGGGTGATTTAGGTGCTCAAAAGGTCTTCAGGAATGCCTTATACTTAGCCAGGAAAGGGGCAGACAGAATATTTAGCTCTTGCTGAAGTTCCTGTAGAGCCCTCTCCTGCTCTTGCTGCTCCCCCACCACCTGCTTCCTGTAATAGTTGATGTAGAAGTCCACCCAGTCATCCACCATAGTCACCATGGCTTCTTCAGGGATGGGAGGATTAGGGAAGACCTGTAGGGTGAGGGGGTAGCAAGGGAGAATGTGGTCAGCAGTGTGATTCAGGAATAATTCACAAACTCCAACATCCTCCTTTCTCTGATTTGTATCCCCTGTCTCTAATTGTTTCCATCAACTGCACCACTGCTCTCCCAACTCCAAATTATTCTCTCTTCTCTGCCCTCATCCACCTGCCAAGAGTCTAGGGCTGTCCTTTGAAACAGTGCCCGGGCTTACCTGCTGATTCAGCAGAACATTAAATTCCTTCATTCCTGTAGAAATGAGATCCTTATTGGCCTGAAGAAGAGCCATCTGCCTAAGTTAGAGAAAGAGATAGAATTTAAGTATCCTTTTTCCTCATTCTTGGGTATTTCCCCCAATTCCCTCATTCCCCTTAAAGATCTCTGGTGCCTTGCAGGACCACCTCTCCAACACCTTTCAAATCATGCCCCTTTTGAGATCACATTTCTCCCAGGTTGGCTCACCTGCAGGTCTAACAGTGCTATGTATGTCTCACCCACACTTTCCAGGGTATGTAGGTCCCTCTCTGAACTAAATGTAGGCAAGGAGTCAAGTATCAGCCTAAAAGGGGAACGCCCTGCATCTAGGTCCTGAAGGAGGGTGATAGGTCAACCAGGGGATGGGAAGGAGGGAGACGTTTCCCTGAAGTTAAAAGATAGCAAGGCCAAGAAAAACAGATAAGTGGGGAGACCCAGAAAACCAAACCCAGGACAGATCCTTGCCATCTGCCCCACATCCCAGTATTCACTCTCCAAAAGTAAAATTCAGGCCAACAAAACTAATATTAATTGACTCCCCATGACATGACAGACACTTTTTTCATTTTATTTTAACTCTGGTGTACTTAACATGCAGTGTTATATTAGTTTTAGGTGTACAGTATAATGATTCAACAATTCCATATGTCATCCTGTGCTCATTATGACAAGTGCACTCCTTAATCCCCATCACCTGTTTCACCCATCCCCCTACCCACTTCTCCTCTGGTAACCATCAGTTTGTTCTCAGTAGTTAAGAGTCTGTTTCTTGGCTGGTCTCTCTCCCTCTCTATCTCTGTCTCTCTTTCCCTTGCTCATTTGTTTCCTAAATTCCTCATATGAGTGAAATCATATAGTGTATTTCTCTGACTGACTTATTTCACTTAGTTCCACTTATATTCTCTAGCTCCATCCATGTCGTTGCAAATGGTAAGATTTCATTCTCTATTATGGCTGAATAATATTCCATTTATATATGGTAATTATTCTCCAATTCATAGATGATACATTATAGCAGCTACATTAATCATTTGTGTCAGGCACTGTTTTAAGCATGTATTAAGGTATTTATCCTTATAAAAAATCCAACTGGGCAGAGACTAATAGAAGCCACATTTTGTGGATGAGACACCTGTAAGATGTGGGAAACTGAACTCTACCAGGCTGTGCTCTGTAAGAATGGAGACACATTTGGGGTGCCTAGGTGGCTCAGTTGGCTGAGTGTCCAACTCTCAGTTTCAGCTCAGGTCATGATCTCAGGGTTGTGAGATGGACCCCCCCCCATTGGGCTCTGTGCTCAGTGGGAAATCTGCTTAAGATTCTCTCCCTCTCCCTCTGCCCTCTCCCCACTCGAACTCTCTCTTTCTCTCTCTAAAATAAATAAATAAATCTTTTTTAAAAAAAGAATGGAAACAGATTTGTCTTGTTCTCTACCATATCATCAGGTATTCAACAAAGCAGAAATACTTTTCTCTTTTTAAATATTTTCCTAATGTTTTCCATTTTTAGTAGATTTTTTCAAATTTTGAAATCACCAAATGCCAACTGAAGTAAGTGCTTTGAAACAATTGTTTCAAAACAATACAAAAATGTACACTGAAAAAGTTAGTCATTTTTGTTTCCTCCCCCAACAAAGTTACCAGCATTAAAGATGTATTTATTTCTTGTCACATCTTTCTCCATTCAAAAACCAACATTCATAGGCACCTACATACTCATACAGGCTTTGTTGATTTGCTTTTTTGTTTATAGCATGTTCTTAATTAACATACAACAAAATTGATTTCCCTTAGTGTACATTTATGAATTTTATTACATAGATTCATATAACCACTACCACAATTAGGACACAGAATATTTCTATCACCCCAAAAAGCTCCTATATGCTACCCCTTTGTAGTGACCCCCACTCCCATACCTAAACCTTGCCAACCACTGATCTGTTCTCCATCACAACAGTTTAGTGCTTTTGAGGATGTCCTATAATGGAATTATACAGTATATAACCTTTGAGAGTGGTTTCTTTCACTCAGAATAATGCCCTTAAAGTTCATACAACTTGTTGCAAGTAGCAGTAAGTTGTTCCTTTTCATTGCTGAGCATGCATCACGTGGATGCACTGTAGTCTGCTCCTTCATTCACCCACTGAAGGACATCTGGATTATTTGCAGTTTGAGGCAAGCATGAATAGAGCTGTTATAAATATTTGTGTACAGATTTTTGTGTGAACATGTTTTCATTTATCTAGGGTAGAAAATATTTGTTATCACTAGGAGAAAAAATTGCAATACAACCTGACAAGGAACATGTATACAGAATTTATGACAAACTCTTATATTTTGATAATAAGACAATCTAGTCTTTTAAATTGCTAAAAGACTAATATAGACATTTCACAAAGAAGATATACAAATAGCCAATAAGCATATGCAAAGACATTCAACATTACTATTCATCAGGGAAATACAAATTAGAGCTACAAGGTGATACCACCACATGGCCACTACAATGACTAAAATTTAAAAAGGCAGATTAAGTGTTGGTGAGGATATGGGAGGAATAGAATTCTGATACATTGCTAATGGGAGTGTAAAATGGTGCAACCACTTTGGAAAACAATTTGACAATTTCTTATAAAGTTCAACATACACTTACCACATGACCCATCAATTTCAGGCCTAGGTAGAGTTCATGAGAAATGAACATACATGTCTACAAGAACACTTAACATGCAAATACAAATGTTCACAGCAGCTTTATTCATAATAACCAAAAAATGGGAACAACCCAAATGTCCAATAACCACTGAATAGATATACAGATTGTGGGTATATTCATACAATTATATACTACTCAGCATAAAAAGGAACAAACCAATGGTCCTCATGACAACATGGATGAATCTCAGAATAATTATGTTGAGCAAAAGAAGTCAGACATATAATAAAGAGGAAGAAACGGGAATAAAAAAGACATGAAGCGGGGAGGTGGGTGGGGAGATGGGTGAAATAGCTGAAATAGGTGAAGGGGATTAAGAGTACATTTATCCTGATGAGCAATACATGGAATTGTTGAATCATTATTTTGTACACCTGAAAATTAATATAACACTGTATATTAACTACACTGCAATTAAAATTTTTTGAAAAAAGAGAAGCCAGAGATAAAATATTATATACAATATAATTCTCTATGAAATTCTCGAACAGGCAAAAATAGTCGATAGTGACAGAAAGCAGATCCAAACACAAGAGTGGAGATTAAAATGCAAAGCTGCCCGGGTGCCTGGGTGGCTCAGTCGTTAAGCGTCTGCCTTCGGCTCAGGTCATGATCCCAGGGTCCTGGGATCGAGTCCCACATCGGGCTCCCTGCTCAGCAGGAAGCCTGCTTCTCGCCCTCCCACTCTCCCTGCTGTGTTCCTGCTCTCGCTGTCTCTGTCTCTGTTGAATAAATAAATAAAATCTTTAAAAATAAATAAAATAAAAAAAATAAAATGCAAAGCTGCCCAAGGGAAATTTTTTGGACAATAGAAATATATATATCCTGATTATGACAAGCAGTTCCATGCACTGTTAGCAGGAGTGTAAATTGGTAAAGATTTTTAGAAGGATAATTTTGACAATACTTGTTCAAATTAAAATATGCATATGCTTCAATCCAATGATTCTGCTTTGAACTCTATTTTAAAGAATTATTCAATTCAGTGCACAGAAAGGCCTGTACAAGGAATTTGCCATAATAATAATGAAATTATTTGTAATAATGAAAAGGCAGAAAAACCCAAACGCTCATTAATATGAGGAGTCATTAAAGAAATTATGGCATATCCATACTATGGCATGACATGCAGCTATTAAAATAAATGAGATAGATATTTATGTGCTGATATGAAAAGATATCTAAGATAATGTTAAAAAGGGACGTCTGGGTGGTTCCGTCAATTAAGTGTCTGCCTTTGACTCAGGTCATGATCCCAGGGTCCTGGGATCGAGTCCCACATCAGGCTCCCTGCTCAGTGGGGAGCCTGCTTCTCCCTCTGCCTGCTGCTTCCCCTGCTCGTGCTCTCTCTCTCTGACAAATAAATAAAAAAAAATCTTTAAGATAATGTTAAATGAACCACAGAGCAGACTACCCTATAGGAGTAAGGATTAAACATAAAACTCTCTCTCTCTCTCTCTCTCACTCTAAGTGTGTGTGTGTGTGTCTAGAATAGTAAACAATGTTCCCTTTTGGGGATTGATTAGTATTTGCTGGGAAATGTAAAAAGGAATAAATGTCAAGGGAGAAATTGACCTTACCTAGCTAAGTTATTGTTTGAATTATTTCACAGAAAGAATGCATCCTTCTATTATTTTTATAATTCTTACGAAGAATACAAAATTTAAAAGATAGAAAGAAGATGGTGTAGTTCTAAAATCATTAGCCTCAAATTTGAATCCTGCCTCAGAGCCTAGAAGAACTAGGCCTAGCAGCTGTTCACTAAATATTTGTTGAATGAATAAATAAATGAATGCTTTTGCCGCTTTTCAGCTCTGTGACGTTGGTGAAGTCACTTCCCATATATAAATTTCAGTTTCCTTGTTTGCAAAGAAGGAAAAAAAAAAATAACTACCTTACAAGTCCTATTGAGAAAATAAATTCATTCATTCCACAAACTGATATGTGGCACCTACCTTGCACCAGGCACTGGAACAGGGCACTAGGAATATATTCAGTGCCAAAGACAAAGTTCCTGTCCTCCCGGAGCTTATGTTCTAGTGGGAGGAATAAGAGGATGAATGGTAAGGGCAACATCTGAGAGATAGGGCAAGACCCAATCTACAGAGCTTTGTGGGTCATGACAAGAAGTTTGTGTTTCATTTCCAAGTGTGAAGAAAAACCACTGAAGGGTTTGGAGGAGAATGTTGCAATCTTCTTCCACAAAAGTAATAGGAAGCCACTGAAAAGTTTAAACAGAGGAGCTTTAAACTTCATGGAGAGTGGACTGTAAGAGAGCAGTAGTGGAAGTGTGGGGATCAATGAGAGTAAAGTCAAGGAGACAAGCAGCTTGGACTATTCTGCCCAATGTTTGGTATTCTGTTGAATGCAGACTACCAAGAGGTTTCCTGGGGGTAGGAAAAGGGGAACCATCACTCATCTCTTTGTCAAGCCATTGATCTGGACACTTCTCAAAGAAGTGTATGATGAGTCCTTGTCCTCACTTATCGTTCAGTTGGGAAGACAGGACATAGGTACCTAATAAAAGCAAATACCAACTGGC